GACAGTTTTTGGAGATATAGGATGTCCAAGGAGTTCCTCTCCGTAGTTTCCTATATCTAGGTGTCGCATGTAAAAGTCCAGGGTGTCCAGGTGTTCCGCTCCGTAGTTTCTTGTATCTAAGTACTGGATGTCGAAGCCCAGGGTGTCCAGGTATTCCTCTCCGTAGTTTCCTGTGTCCAGGTGTCGAATACGGAAGTCCAGGGTGTCCAGGTGTTCCGCTCCGTAGTTTCTTGTATCTAAGTACTGGATGTCGAAGCCCAGGGTGTCCAGGTATTCCTCTCCGTAGTTTCCTGTGTCCAGGTGTCGAATACGGAAGTCCAGGGTGTCCAGGTGTTTCGCTGTGTAGTTTCTTGTATCTAGGTGTCGGAAGTAGAAGTCCAGAGTATCCAGAAAAGTGTTCAACGAGCGACGCTTTGGCGCTTCGCTTAAACTGTAGTATTTTCTCTGTTATTCGCACGGCCTGAGGTACGTAAATAATCCAGCACACTGTCCTCTGTTACGTTTACCAAACGGCTTCAACAAGCTTCTTTACTGCTTCCTGTAGTTGATTATGATTTAATGGTCATTTAATAATTAATAAAACTTTAGGTGATTCCTTATCGAGTACTACTTGGCGGGTACGTGCCAGGAATTCCAAGATATTTACTTTGAACGTAATAATAGTATCCTAAAACTATATATTTGTTATTAAGCTTTTATCGTGATTATTTTTGACGAGTTGTTGTTAATAAGCTCTATATAGGAGGTTGACATTGGTTTTGTGTTTGATGACTGGCATAATGAACGCAAATTTATATCAAGAAATGCACCGACCCGCGAAGTAGTACTCGATAAGGAATCACCTAAAGTTTTAATAATTACTAAATGACCATTAAATCATAATCAACTACGGGAAGCAGTAGTAATGTAAAACAGTAGCGAAAGCATTATAGGAAATTTTGAAAATACATATAAAATGGTGGGCTAGTGCTAGATCATGTAATAGGCAAACATGTAGTGAATTATCTACTTGGCCTCAATAATCTCATATCAATACTTATTATTAGAGGAATACACAGCACTCCTGTACTTGGCGTAGTTTTTTACATGTAAGTGTTTTTTTTGGGGAATCGGTTTTTTCATTGACCATAGGAAACCAAAAAACGAGATGTGCCCTTGGCAACACGCGAAATAAAAGAGATTGTTAGCAGCAAACTAATCAAGACTTATTTAATACGTTATATCTGTTATATCCCAACTATAATACTGAATATTTTCGAGTTCTATGGTTGGACGTCCACACGCTTCACTGTCATTTTCATCACGGGGTCAATGCGGCAATGCTTGTTCGGCTTTAATAGCGCCTTGGAGGACAGATAGCTTCGGTTTTTATTCGTAAGGTTGTCTGGGGCAGCGAGCATTTCGGCAGCACCGTTTGGCATATGTCAATCAGTTTTATGAGACCTGAAATGTCTGCAAGTCCTCGATGATTAGACCAGCGCCCTTCTCATGCATTACGTAAACGGAAATCTGAAGATCCTTTGTCCAGGGCATATTCATACACACGTCCCCATTTCAAGAAAGGATTCAAGGCATGACATGCAAAGGACTGCCCTCTCCCTTGTATCTAGAAATTTCGCCCACGAAGCTCTTTTAAAAATTGGTCTAGAATTAGTTACACTTCAGTTATTTCAACTAAAGACAGATCACAGTGTAAACAATTAATAAAAAAAAAGATGCAAAGTAAAACTTTGCACATTGCTTTCTCATTACTTTCCACTTTTCACAAAGCCACCTCTATGAGGAAGTACGTTGATCAATTATGGCTTCCTCGTAGAGGAAGCTTTCTGAAATCTGAAAAATAATGAGAAAAAACTAAATTTTGTCAAATAATTCAAAAACACGTAACACCCGAACCCCATTGCCGATTTCGGCCAAAGTCAGCACCAAACAACATTGAACGTACCCGCACTTATGAAAAACTATTTACCTATATATTGAAAATTTTACGGAACTTTTTTTTTAATTCATTTTTTGAATTCAAAAAGTCATACAATCTAAAAATCTGTATATATTTTACCAAAACTTAGAACAGATGAAGGAACTGCTACTTTAAAAGTGCGCAAAATTTTAGCTTGATCGCTCGAACGATGCTTGAGTTATAGACAATTGAATTATTGAAGCTCTGCGCGCGCACATACACACGCGTGCACGCTCATGCATAAAGACATTTTTTCTAAACCACTTTTCTCGGCTTTTTAGACCATGTTAAGTATTCTGACATAAAAATCTCGAAAACAAATGTTTTTTTATGAAAATAGCTTCTTCTATGAGGAAGCAAAAAGAATGTATCATCAATTTATCACAATCAGATTCTCCTTCCAAATCGGCTGTCATCATCATTAAATCTAAATCAGTTGACGGAGTTCACTTTCCTCTTCCGACGCATTTTACAACACCATTAAGGAACTGAAAGCTAACATTATAACATTAATAATATCATGAACTTCAGAGTCTTTCGTTTGTTTAACAAGGTAACAATGTCTCAACTAACGGAATCGTTCAATCGCGTCAAACTCAGCTGGTGGGTTTGTCGTGAATCATACTGTATAATAAACGACCAACATGTTTATTCTATATAGCATTGTAATCATTTCGTAAACTCAATGTAACCTGAGAGACTGAGCTCATACGAAACGGCGACGAGTATTTCCCTACAAAAATAATTATAGAGTCGGCGCTTATATAGCTGGGGTTCAGCATGTCATGTAGCTAAAGCGCTCCACGCGATGCTCGGGATGTAACATACTATTCATTCGTAGGTGCCAACATTATAAATAATAAAATAATACATACAAATATCTAAGCATCGACACAATTGTTAACAAACAAATAGTATCTGTTATATCATTACTTGGAATTATATTTCGACGCATTTAAAATCAATTGACAATGACATCTTTAAAAGTATATCTTGAAAGGTTCAAATCAGAGTATAATAAAAAAATTAGGCCAATAATGGATCTAAGAATTAATTCATAGCATATCTAGCGTAGATAAATTATTGATTAACAAAATGTTTTAAACTTGTAATTGGCAACATCTTGATATAGGTACTGTGACGTGATTTTTCGAATCACGGCCCCAAGGCAGTTCAGGTTACCGATACAGATAACGTTCTCGATTTCTGGTTCCGTTCGGGTCGCCACCCTGCTCAGAAGCTACGCTTTCGGGTTGATTCGTATAGTTATGTCAAGGCTCTCGTAAGATTTCGTCATTGTTTAGTTGAGGTCGAGGTGCTCGAATCTGCCGTGGGGAGATAGTCTCGACGTACCGAGTTGCCCGGCAGAGGAGAAGAACCGACAGAGACGTCTCCACGGACCGGCAGAAGCCCGGGTGAGATACCGGTGCCCCGCTGGAGATGGACAAAGGGCTGTAGAGCGGGCGGAGGTAGTTTTGATATGGTTAAGGGCAGAAGAGGAACCTCCTGCCCGAGTTAAGGATGTGGTGCCCAGCTGTCGCCCGATGCCCTGGGGAAGCGGCCGTGGAGAATCTCCAGAAGTTACGTACCGATTCGTTAAGGAACGCTCTCGACTTGGTTTAAAGGGACGACTCGAAGAAGATAGAAGAGTTATCGATTAAAAGGCTCTCGACGAATCAGAATGATTAGTTATCGGATTTGGCTATTGTCAAAGCAGACTGTCTCGGGGCACCGGTCGAGGTGTCACGAGCTGGCTCGTGCTCCTGTGCTATCTGTTGATAGTTTTTCTTGCCGTGTTTCGCTACGGCGTAGCAAGTTCTCGACTCGTACAGTTCTCACGTTGTTCTCGCGGTATCCAGGCAATTCTATGAATTCCTGGGAGTGTTCCGGAGGTGCATTGCTGTGCCTTAGTGCAGTGCTCGCCAGAGTGTCCTTTGGATACAATTGTCGGCCTCCACGGATTAGCTGCACCAGCTCCGGTGAGGACTCCCAATTTATTAATTGGTGAAGGGATCTCGATAGATAGTTAAGATTCGTTCTGATACGTTCTCGGTTCGTCGCTCTCTGTCTCTCGCCCTATTTGCCGGACTCTTACTCCGACCCTCTCTACCTCAACCTAGCAGCCTGAGTGGCCGCGCATTTCCGTAACCGCCCGCTTCCGTTGGTGCATCCAGCTGCGTTTGATGATTTAACGCGACCCCAAAAATCGACCGGATCCGTTAAGCTATCGCCTCGTCTGTTACATAAAAATTGTTCAACGTATTGAATTCATTTTGTTGAATTTTCAAAAGATTGAAAGTCATTTTAATATTCTTTTCAGAACTAAATTTTTCTATTCACGTTCTGGTCAAAGTACTAGCAAAAAACAAATATTTTAATATGGCAAGTAGCGGAATAGGAATTTCAAGAGTAATGGCTTATTATAAGTAAGAAACGGCATCCGGGACGTTTTGTTGTAAGTAATTTAGTTTGACAGTGAATCTTAACTTTTCCTTTCCGAAACAAACCTTTTGACATCATACTATTTATGATTTATCATATACCTCTTTTAAAACTATGTAATTTTGTCGAAAACATTTTTTTTCAGAATGCAACTAAAAGTATAATTCCATGCTTGTGCACGATAATTTTAAATATTTCTTATGTAACTCATACATGAAAAGTGCTACTTCTCGTGCCTCCAAAGTGTGGCGTAAGTGGCGCTTTATAACTAAGGATACGATAAAAATGCTGCGCATGCGCAAATCGGCCCAATTTTACATTATCGCACTAGTGCTTTCTTCTCGCACTAGTGCGATAAAGTAAACTTTGTTCTCGCGCTGTCATGAAATGCATTCACTTTGGAGGCCTTCCTTGCTTTCCTTATGGCTGCCTCCTCCAATCGGGAGATGTGTCAGTCACTTTGGAGGCACAAAAAGTAGCACTTTTCGTGCATGCGTTACAGAAAGTATTATTTATAATGTGCTGTTGGTAAGCTAGAGACTTTTTTTAGAGTATATCTAAAATCCATAAAATATGAAAAACATAATATGTCACTTACTAAGCTAATTAACGCGCAGCAACCACCACGATCGCTCTTGGCCAAGTGGTGCCTCACGTACTTGAAGTAGAGGTGCTCAAGAAGTAAGAGCACTGCGGCAATGAGAATACCCGTCATTAGCAGTAAGAACGCGCTCAAAAACTGTTCCAGAGCGAGTGGATCACTGCTCTTCTGTACTTCTTTTCCAGGCTTGCAAGTCCCTGTCATCCAATATCTACGTAGACGCTCCAAATCACCTGAAATTTTATTTTAAATTGTGGAACATGTAAGGCCTATACAGGGTGAGCTATCCTAGACTTCGAATCTGAGAGACGTCTATTCTCTACTCAGACTACCCTCACCCTTCCATTAAGATGGAGATGTCTCTTAATACTTACGACTATGCAGTACCGCAACTAAATACATTCCCTCGACCCTCACGACAGTTTTCTATTCGAAAAGTTCATTCAGTTATTTGTCCTAGAGAATAGGCCTTAACCAGACTCGAAATCTAGAATAAGTCATCCTGTATATGGAAATGAATTTCAGTTAGACTCACCGTTTTCTCGAAAGTCGAGAAGACGTTTGTTGAACATTTGGACGTATTTTGAATTCCTTGAAAAAGCTAAACCGTATCCTGTCATGGCGTACCATGATCCAACAGTAAGTAACCTGCAGTCTTCATCCTGTGCCACGAGATAATCGAGTACCGTGCCGTCATAGATAAACGCGTCCATATCCCTGAAAAGGTGCAACAAAATATGTGTAAAACATCGGTTATATAATTGTTTAATTAAAGAAAGTGATAATAAAGTTCAAGTGATATACTCAAATAAAGTTTCTTGTAAGAAAATTTTCGCATTTGCTTCGTTTTTCCTCTATCTCTAACATGTGAATCACCACCATCATGAAGCCAACAATGAGAGCCACACCAAGGAACCACCAACAGAAGAACAGTGCGCTACTGTAGCTCCCAAAAAGAAGGCAGAGAACGTCTACCGGATCCGTACCGAAGGAGTCTCGGAGGCAGGGAGACAGGAAAGAGGTGCGAAAGAAAAACGCACGTGTTTCCGATCGCGCCCTTTTTCGAAGCGTCTACCATCACCAATGGAAACATAGCCGCCGTAAGCGGAGAACGTCGAGGAGACCCGCCAAGGAAGTACCAAAACTCGAAGGCAGGCTATCATACCTCTTGTAGCAAAGGATAATATCGAGTAGGGGACGACCGGCAGGACAGGACCCGAACTGCCAACTGGAGAGCTTCGGAAACAGAGAGGTCCGTCCCGATCGAAAGCAATATCGAAAGGCCTGGTCTAGTAGCCGCCCTGAATTACGATCGGAAGGTTCGCAATGATAAGGAGCATTCCACTGAAGGGACGCGTAAGTCCGAAAAACGAGCATACCGGGATAGTAAACAGTCCTCCAAATCCGTTCGGATGAATCATCGATCGGTGAATACTACAGCGAATTAAAAAGCTTTCTGAAAGGAAAATGTACCGTTTACCTAGGTATGGAAGAATAAAGTTCTCTGAGACAATTTAAATTATAGCGCGCGAGGACGACACGATAGGTGGCACATACAGCAGCACTTCAAGACTGAACGAGTCTTCCGTCGTGACGTCAAGGGTAGGCACTTAGCTGCAGACAACAATACGCCGAACTAAGGGTTCATTCTGAGTCCAAGCGATCCGTTTTACTATCGTAATTCGACGGGGAAGCGTATTGTTTTCCTAACAAATAGTATACGTTTCTCGAATATTTGGTTGACTACCACTGTTTGTTCTTCGTTATACTTTGCTATTGGTAATTGACTAACTTTGAGGGAATCGCATCCCTATCGCTTCTCGACTGCGAGGCTCTGTGCTTTCCTTTTGTTTTCTTCTTTTTGTCAAATTATCTCGATGATTTATTAGTTTTATTGCTTTAATCGATGTTTCTGTAATCGTATGTTAACCTGTCTAACTCATTTATCTGCTTGTCTATCTATCACCTGTATTGATATTTTGCCTATTGTCTTATACGATGCGCTGTTTATGACCGAGTGATCCTAATGAATAATTGGCACCGAACCTTAATTTTGTCTTATCGTGTAATAGATGGTTGCTTGGGAGTGTCGACGTTTGTGTGCGTGAGTCTTGAGTGGATCAAATAAATATCACAATATCTAAAGGATTCATCCTAATTGTATTATAATGTATATTAAGAAAATTCACCCGCTAATGACGGCTTCCACTCCTTCTGCAACACTGCTCTTGTTAAACGACCTCATGTACGCGTGCATCTCTTTGAAATATTTGGCGAGAGTGCTGTCTGTATGGCTCCATGGAATTGTGCCAAACTTGAACATTGGTTTATGTGAGAACGGTTTGGCCAATCTGTGATCATCCACGCCAGTAAATTCATGAAATTCTTCACGGGTGATCATGAAGGCTGCCAAATTGGCAGTGTAGATGGCAAGGAACACCACGGCGAACATGGCCCATACGTTGGTCATGAACCTGATGTACAAAAAATTGTTAGAAATAGTAATACAACACACAAAATGTATACTTAATGAGGCCGCAACCAAAACTTTAGCTTTAAAGAAGCCTTTCATTGTGAATCGTTAAAGGTTGCTCCTGAAAGCATTCTTTTTTTTTAATTAAGATTTGAATTTTTTATTATATTAAATTTAATGTCTTATGATCGTTAAATTGAACTTCATTTAATTGGATGATTTGAAACTCACCTAGCAGTGAATCCTCTTGGTGAGTCTACATGAACGGCTGCTTGAAAAAGTACAGCCCAAACTAGCCAATAAGTACGAAAGAGGGAAAATCGATGATTCGGCGATAAATTGATCTGCGATACAGAGCGCTGAAATAAAATTTTCATTTGTTGGAATATTAAGATGCATTATAAGCATACATACAACAAATGACTTTGCAAATAACTTATTTAATATTATTATTCCATTATGTGAAAATATAGAAATGGAGCACTCGATTGTCTCCTTCAGCAATCTCAAATAAATGAATGTAGTAAATTATGTATGTATAGTCGACCAATAGGTCAAATCAGAGACTTACAGAACTATTTAATAATTATAGTAACCCAAAAGTCCTCCCTTTGAATTGTCATATATCTGACTTCTGTTAAAACCATACATACACATATACTACGTATACATATACACCATGAAATTTATTTTAATGGGCATCGTAACCAACTCAATAATACATATCAAATATATGTGGGTACTTTTATACGAAATTCAACGTTATAACAAAATTTTGATCAAAATTATTAGGTTTTACTTGAACTGCTTTACTTTAATATTTCTCTATGAAACCCTCCAATTATATCACAAACTAAACACAGATATATATTAATACATCAGTGTCAATTTAAGAGTATTGCACTAATTGAATTACCTCATCCATTAGATTTTCATCGCGCAATCACCAACACTTACTAAGTACACCACTAACTTGATGGAACAATAAACTTGCAACTCATGTAAATTAGATATATGTATGTATTGTGACGTTACTTCAGGTCACAATCTGGAATTGATTAACTTTTGTTTTTATCATGGTGGACGTATTGCCGTCCTTTAATATCGTGTTACGTAAATTACCAGCCAAGAACTCCATGGTCATAATTTTCCAGAATTATCGAACATTAGGCTAATTTCTATTATAAAACCATTTCATGCGTTACGAATTCGGCTAGAACATATAACATTATCATTTCGCTGGAGGAGGATCACCACGAGACTGCATTGGGATGGTGGAGAACGATCCAAAGTCATTAGACGCCCCCACCCCGCCACCGATGGCTCCCGAATTGAGTCGGCGATCGACATGGAGAAAGGCATCACCATGGACCATCTCGTTCTTCTCGTTACTGCCAGTACTAATGTTCCGAGAGGGGATCATCAGCGGTACCGAAAAGGATGGGGAGCAGAAGCAGGAACGGGATTCGCCTATTTAAGTTTTGACCGTTTTTTTGCGTATCGCATATCGGCGAACAAAGAGAGGCTCCGGCAATTAATTATCGAGTTTATCGCGTCCTTCTCGTGAGGGATTATTGGTAATATTTTCAGTTTTATTGAGTGATAATGGTTTTTATTTTGAGTCCAGTGGCATGCTTCCATATTTACGCGTAGCAATGTGAGTAACTGTTCTGCGACGATGATTGGCCGAAAAGTGCACTACTGTATAATCTAGGACCGTGTCGGTAGTGATCTTGCTAGCATGTCGCCATTCGTTTCTCGTCAGCCGTCTTGGCCGGTTCCGCTAAGTAATCGTCTCGCATGTGGTATCAAAATGTAACGCTTAGATAAGCACTTTTGTCACAAGGACGAAATTTTTTCTGTCTTGACTTCCGTACACTGCGGGACATTAATGCCGTCCTTGGATGGAGCTAGTAGGAACGGAGGAACGAAACGGATTAGAGCTGAACGTGCCAATGTACACTGCGGGACATTAATGCCGTCCTTGGGTGGAGCTAGTAGGAAGCGTGAGTAGGGCGACTGGCAGTGGCGACTGGTGGCAAGCAAGCCAGGCCGCCGCGTGGAGAGGGTAGCCTATTCCTCGCGCTTGGGACGGCATGTCTGTTCAGAGTCCAGGCGTGTCCAGGCGAGTCCAAGTGAGACGCTTTTATACGCGCTAGGCCACTGCTGCCAGCGAGTGAGAGGGTCTTATGGGCGATTAGCGCTAGACGCAAGTGAGACTCTCTTATACACAATGCAGGCTATCTCTGGGACTCCACTAACTGCGAGTGAGAGGGACTTATGCGGACTCTATTGAAATTGTCTGAGACACTCTTATACGGGACGCCTGGACTCTGGGCAGACATGCCGTCCCAAGCGCGGGGAATAGGCTATCCTCTCCACGCGGCGGCCTGGCTTGCTTGCCACCAGTCGCCACTGCCAGTCGCCCTACTCACGCTTCCTACTAGCTCCACCCAAGGACGGCATTAATGTCCCGCAGTGTACATTGGCACGTTCAGCTCTAATCCGTTTCGTTCCTCCCGATTTCGGCCTAGGAAATGTTCGCGTTTCGCCGGTCAGGGAAAGATTCCATGCCTTCCGTTAATAATTTCTGTATTCTCGAAATGTATTATTGAATTTAGCCTTATGCCTCGGTGACCCTGGAGAAATTTGAAATGAATCCGTGTTCCATGCGTCTTTTCATTCTTTTGCGATGCCTAATCTTTCGATGTGCTCCGAATAATATGTTTCGCGACAAACCGTTCTTACTAGCTGATCTTGTTCACTTCCTTTAGTTATAGGATTCTCTTGTCTAATTTCTCGCGTACGTATCGTTACGTCGAGAATACGACGAATTACGAGAATATTTCTGTGTAACATGATCCGAATCCCCGTAAAATTCTGGTAGCGCCATTGCTTTTTCCCGTTTGCACAACCGCGGAACTATGACTGCTGCTGTCCCTAGTTTTCTGAAGTTGGGTATTTGGCGTTTTGGGTTCTTTATCGGTTTATCGCGTCCTAGGGTTCAGGATATTCGTAATTAGTGCTCCAACATTGGAATGATCCGCCCTGAATAAGAGGTTCAGTGGAAGAAGATGACAGCACCTGCCCACTGAATTCAGAACTGCCGGTTATTTTTGTGGTTTTTTTAGACATAGATTATTTGCTTAACTAAAAATTGAATAACGATAGCCTTTCTGATGATATTTGCTTAGATAGTGTATTGTTAATATACAAAATAGTTAGAAATTTACAACCGATACATTGTATCAACGCAATTATGTAAATATTCGAGACAAGTTTCAACAATACTGCTATCAATATACTCAATACAAACAAAATCTGCAGTTACACACATACATCCATACATCCATACATCTATACACCCTATTCATTTCGTTATATGTAATTAAAGCGATGTGATACACTGTAGTCGGTATCAAAAACTGCAATCGTAATGTTTCAAGGGTTCTGAACGTTTCTGGGCAAGCGTAAATTTGCTTTCACTATGAGACTGACAAAAGGAGTGAAAGCAAACTTGTTTTTTTTTTCAGAAACGTTTGGGACCCTTCAGAAACTAGGATTACATTTTTTCTATCGACTGGAGATGGGTAGTGTATATCACACGTGGACTTAAAGTATGCTATGGTGTTCGATATAACTTGTCATGGTATATTTTCAAAACATGTCAATGGGAGGACGCTGAAGAGGAATTGATGTATCAAAAAGGGCCAAAAAGACCCATGCCAAAAAGATCAAAATCAATTTGAATTGAAGAGGAGGAAGTCTTTATAAAGAGATTCCGTCAAATACCTCAGCCCCATGAACTCCCGATCTATGGGGTCAACGGTCCAATGAAAGACGACATAAGCAAATTAGATTACCAAGTAGAGAGTCTACCAGAGACCAAAGGGCACGTCTGGAAGAACTCATACGCATTTCGGTTTGAAGACGGGCCACTCCCACAAAGATCCCTACCAATGATCCGACCTCAAGAGTTCCCCATCTATAGGGGCGATGGCCCGAAGGAGTACAATGAAGCTCATGGCTGACGTCCTTGCTTCACGTTGAGTCGGTTCTTCCTTGCTTGAATATGCTCGTTGTCTTTACGTTCACTATGAAGGCATATCGGATGATGGTCCTGTCTTCAATTTATGTATCAACCTACATGTGACTTCTTTCTCTGTTTCTTTCTGCGTTTATGTCCCACTTAAGTTAAGTTCCTGCCTGAGGAAGACCCGCACCATGGGTTGAAACGTTGCAAACAATATTGTCTTCGCATTATCAAGGCTGCATATGGTCAACATTTAAAAACACCTATAATATAATTGAACATCCAGCCGACATTTCTACAATAACAGTACAATGAAGGTGCACTGAAGAATGTCAATTTGAAAAAACTGGAAGGGCCAGAAGGACTCGACGGAAGGCAGAGACACCCAATTCGGATTAAAGAGAGTCAATTTCTGAGGAAACTTCGGCAATCAATCCAACCTCGTGAGCTTCCTAACTATGGGTTCAATGGTCCAGGGGAGTATAACGGAAGTGCATCCGTATCCCGGGAACGGGATACGGTATCTAAAGTATCTAAAGACCCAATTTCACTTGAAGGAAATGCACACGGAAGGAAACTCAATAACCAAACGAAAGACCGGATGTCCATTTTCTATGGGGTCAATGGTTTGAAGGGACCTGGAGGCGATGAAGGATATAAATACCGGAGCCTAGGCAAGACTCAGTTTTTTATAAAGATAACCATACAGCGAGATAACGAGTTACAGTAGGTGATCTAGGAGGCTATGGGCTATCGGAGGCAACGTCTCCAAGAATGGAGGAGCATTGCGGAAGCGTGGAAAATTCGGCGCAACATGCCGCGTCGGATGCTGTGCTCAATGGATGAGGCTATGGAGAGGGACCTGGGGCACTTGGAAAAGCTGAGCCATGAAATCCACGGGCGTACGCTCATCCCAGCCATGCCAGAAAGTAAGAAGGACAACGACCGAGAAACGGATTCGGGTAGAGGAACGCCAGCGTCCACTTCAGCCTGGACCAAAGGGCCCAGTCTTGGAGCGTATAGCGCATACCAGGAATCCAATGGGAGTCCACGATCCGGGAACAATCAGGAGGAGGAAATTGAAGAGCCGTGGAGGATGTGGGACCCACCAACCTCCGAACTTCATCACCCAAGTATGAAGAAGCAACAGGATATTGCTTATCGCCAAGGGACCTTCGTTCGCAGGGAAGCAGAGAAATAGACATAGAGGTGTCGGAAAGCGAGGACACATCGTCTGGGGAAGACTAGCAACCGGACGAAGCCATGGAGGAGGTCATGGATGACGAGGAAAAAGAGGCGGCCCCACAGCCGCCAAGAATCATTAAA